AGAGCCAATAATCTTCTACTTCTATTATTATTTAAATTCTGCATGACGTCCTTTATGGACAAACCCTTACATCATCATGTAACAGAATGTGTCATCAAAAGAAATGTTTTAAAAATAGATAAGGTTTTAAAAAAGAAGACATGAGCTCGTGAGTTTTATATTTCACATTTATTGTGAGTTCAATTTTATAATTAATAATAATTATCTTTATACATAAATCGCATAGCAAAATAAGTTATAATTACAGTCTCAGCAAAAAAAAAACAAATGTTGTTTAATTATAGAAGAATATTGATGGCAAGCCATTACACGCATAGCAATGAAGAATACTAATAACTATTTTTTCATTCATAGTTATAAAATGTTATGATTATGTTTATTCAAAATGTTTCATTCTAAATAAAAGCAAGCGATGAATCTTGTTTTTTGCTATTTAAATTTCTATAGTTTGTTGTAATAAAAAAACATTCTCGTTATTAAATGTATTTAATTTACGTTTTAACATACTTACGTTTATACATATATACACATTTACGTTTTAAATACAAGCATGCAGTAAAGTAAAGAAATCTATTTCCCTTGTTCAATAAATTTGTAGTACCATTTTGCAATCAAAAACGCAAACTTTCACAATAAACAAAACAAAAAAGATCAAAAGTTTGACCTTTCAGGGTCTTAATTTAATATAAAATTTAATGAAATTCGCCGCGTAAAAGAGCCTAATATCTCTGACTTCTATTTTTTAAATATATTTGCGTTGCATAATTTATGAACAACTCCTTACCGTAATATCTGTAAATTAAAATAAAACAGGGTTAGTTTACACCCTATATATATATATATATATATATATATATATATATATATATATATATATATATATATATATATATATATATATATATATATAATAAGCATAATTCTTTATTAATTTATTAGTAATAAATTAGATCTAGACAACAATCATATGTTGTTTAGATATCTAAATTATTTTTAGATAATTAAATTGTTTTTAGAATAATTTTATTTTGTTATGCTTGATCTCCACCACGCCCCTGGTTGTACTGCGCTCAATTTGTTTCTCCGTGCAGCGGCCTTATTCATCAAGATTCGTGTTTCGGAGTTATAGAGTTGAGAAAGGGTTATAACTACTATTAAGTAGCCTTCTCGTCTGTAGTGGCCTTCTCGGCCTTGAGGAGGTGAATAACAAAAAAAAAAAAAAAAAAAAAAAAAAAAAAAAAAAAAAAACTAAAATAGCCTCCTTGACAAGAGTGGCCTTCATGGCCTTGGGGATGTGAATCAAAATAAAAAAAAAAAAAAAAAAATAGAAAGACTATTACATTGCCTCCACCATGCTTCACAGTCTTATGGCAGTAATGTTAATTGAGGCATTTTCTGGCCGGTCGACGTACACGGCAAATGCCATCGCTCCCAAACATGTTGAACTTCGATTCATCACTGAACAGGACAGTTCGCTATTTCTGCACATTCCAGTCAATATGAGATGTAGCAAACAGGAGTCTTTTCTTCTGGTTCTTTAGTGAAATCAGCGGTTTCTTTGCATGGCGTCGAGAAAACAATCTGGCTTCAACAGCATGTCTGATTGTTTGATCCGATACAGGCAGCTCTAATTGCTTTTGTATCTTGACTGATGATATCCAGGGATCCTTCTTGACGGATCTGACGATCATAGAATCCTCTCTAGAAGTGGTGGAACGTGGTCTTTCACCTTTGTTATCTGCTGCCAACTTCCCCGTAGAATGATATTTGGAACAAAGTCTTGATACAGTCCATTTTTTAATGCAATATTTATCACAAATACTTTTTTGTGACATTCCACTTATGTAATCGCCAATAATTTTCTTTCTTAGTTCCAATCAAAGACTGTTGGGAGCCATTTTTGCACTTGAAGTCATAAAAATAATAAAAATAAATAATCACGTTTCTCAAGGCTTACCATGTTACATTTACCTTGTGATGATACAATAATGTTCTGTGGAACACAACGTCTTGGTTGGATGTGGACTGTATTGATGTAATGAAACACTTGTTGTATTTCCCAATCATCCAATCACCATCCAATCTTTTTGATGCTTCTGAAAGCTTCTGGATGCGTCTGGATGCTTCTGAATGTTTCTGGATACTTCTGGTAGCTTCTAGATGCTTCCAGATGCTTCTTTTGGAAACTTCTGAAAGCTTCTGCATGCTTCTGGAAACTTCTGGAAACTTCTGGATACTTCCTTTAATTATTAAAAAACTTCCGTGACGTTGTCACGAACAAGACTTAAGAAAATGAAACAAACCAAAAAAGTTGCACTTGTTTTGTCTGCTGCAAAATAAACTTGTCAGTGAAATTCTGCCTGTGTGCTGTCACCCGACAGCTGATTGCTCATGTTATGGCATGCTATGACTCCAGAATCCTGAACTGTTTGCTTTACGTTTTTAAGACATGTAAAATTAGGAACACTTTTTAGCATTGTTCGATGTTGGTTGCAAATGT